AGCAATTCTCCTGCCTCAGCCTCCCGAGTGGCTGGGACTACAGGCGCGCACCACCATGCCCAGCTAATTTTCGTATTTTTAGTAGAGACGGGGTTTCACCTTGTTGACCATGATGGTCTCGATCTCTTGACCTCGTAATCCAGCTGCCTTGGCCTCCCAAAGTGTTGGGATTATAGGTATGAGCCAGCGGCCTCTTTTTTTTTTTTTTTTAACCAAGGGGCTGTGTAAGCAACCCATATTTCTACATTGAAATGAGAAAGCCTTGGCCAGGAGAGGTGGCTCATGCCTGTGATTCCAGCACTTTGGGAGGCCAAGGCAGGCAGATCATCTGAGGTCAGGCATTCAAGACCAGCCTGGCCAACATGGTGAATCCCGTCTCTGCTAAAAATACAAAAATTAGCTGGGCACAATGGTGGGTGCCTGTAGTCTCAACTACTTGGGAGGCTGAGGCAGGAGAATTGCTTGAACCCAGGCAGTTGAGGTTGCAGTGAGCAGAGACTTCGCCACTGCATTCCAGCCGGGGCACCAAAGCAAGACTCCGTCTCAATTAAAAAAAGAAAAAAAGAAATGGGAAAGCCTCAAGGCCAAGGATGACAGTTGCCTGAACTAGGGCCATGTCTACCATTCAAGGCAGTTAGAACTCTGGGAGAGGAGGAAGAATTTTTGGTTAATTATTTAGGCTTTTAAATATCTAGCCCAGAGGCCAGGTGTGGTGGCTCACACCTGTAATCCCAGGACTTTAGGAGGCCAAGGTGGGGGGATCACTTGAGGTTAGGAGTTTGAGACCAGCCTGGCCAACATGGTGAAACCTTGTCTCTACTAAAAATACAAAAATTAGGCCGAGTGCAGTGGCTTATGCCTGTAATTTTGGGAGGCTGAGGCAGGTGGATCACCTGAGGTCAGAAGTTCGAGACCAGACTGACCAATATGGTGAAACCCTGTCTCTACTAAAAATACAACAATTAGCTGAGGGCAGTCGTGTGCACCTGTAGTCCCAGCTGCTCAGGAGGCTGAGACAGAAGAATTGCTTGAACCCCAGAGGCAGAGGCCGCAGTTAGCCAAGATCGAACCACTGCACTCCAGCCTGGGTGATAAGAGTGACACTCTGTCTCAAAAAAATTTTTAAAAATATATATCTAGCCGGGCGCGGTGGCGCATACCTGTAGTCCCAGCTACTCAGGAGGCTGAGGTGGGAGGATCGCTTGAGCTCAGGCGTTCTGGGCTGTAGTGCGCTATGCCAATCGGGTGTCCAAACTAAGTTTGGCATCAATATGGTGACCTCCTGGGAGCAGGGGACCACCAGATTGCTTATGGAAGGGTGAACCGGCCCAGGTCGGAAACGGAGCAGGTCAAAACTCCCATGCTGATCAGTAGTGGGATTGCGCCTGTGAATAGCCACTGCATTCCAGCCTGGGCAACATAGCGAGACCCCATCTCTTTTTATATTATTTTAAAAAAGAAAAATATATATCTAAAATCCTTTTTTTGAGGGGTAGGAGGATGGAGGTGGCATATATGTTGATACTGCAGTGGCCAGCAGAACCTTGAGAAGTGGACAGATTAAAAAATGTAGGCCGGGCATGGTGGCTAACACCTGTAATCACAGCATTTTGGGAGGCCAAGGTGGGAGGTTGGGTTGAGCCCAAGAATTCAAAAACAGCCTGGGCAACGAAGTGAGACCCCTGTTTCTACAAAAAGTTAACTAAGCATAGTGGTGTATACTTGTGGTCCCAGCTACACAGGAGGCTGAAGCAGGAAGATTGCTTGTGCCTGGGAGGTGGAGGCTGTAGTGAGCTGCAGCCTGGACATAGAATGAGACCCTGTCTCAAAAAATAAAATAAAATGGAATGCAGATTGAAATGTTAAATATAGCCTATCCATAATCTCCTACCTCATACCCTGAACCAAAATATTGCTACTTTTGGTTAAGTTCAGAAAAACTGAATGCTGAGTTAAATCATTCATTCCTAGTCTTGAACATACAATACCAGCATTAACAGTATTTATGTATTTCATATTAATTATAAACAACCGTCAATTACCCAATGGTTACTATTTGCCAAGATATATCTAGATTATTATCATTTGATTATTACTAAGGTCTGTATACAATTTCTATTTTATTTATTTATTTATTTATTTATTTATTTATTTTTGAGACGGAGTTTCACTCATGTTACCCAGGCTGGCGTTCAATGGCGTGATCTCGGCTCACTGCAACCTCCGCCTCCTGGGTTCAGGCAATTCTCCCGCCTCAGCCTCCTGAGTAGCTGGGATTACAGGCACGCACCACCATGCCCAGCTACTTTTTTGTATTTTTAGTAGAGACGGGGTTTCACCATGTTGACCAGGATGGTCTCGATCTCTTGACCTCGTGATCCACCCGCCTTGGCCTCCCAAAGTGCTGGGATTACAGGCTTGAGCCACCGCGCCCGGCCCAATTTCTATTTTATAAATGAGAACACTAAGGCTCAGAAAAGTGGAGTGAGTTGCCCAAATTCACACAGTGAAGCCGGGATCGAAGCTAGTTACAGGGCCGAGTGCGGTGGCTCAGGCCTGTAATTCCAGCACTTTGGGGGGCCAAAGCGGTGGATCACCTGAGGTTAGTAGTTCAAGACCGCCTGACCAACACAGAGAAAAACTCCCCATCTCTATTAAAAACGCAAAATTAGGCCGGGCGCTGTGACTCACGCCTGTAATCCTAACACTTTGGGAGGCCAAAGTGGGTGAATCACCTGAGGTCAGGAGTTCAAGACCAGCCTGGCCATCATGGTGAAACCCCATCTTTGAAAAAAAATGGAAAAAAAGGGCCGGGCGCGGTGGCTCAAGCCTGTAATCCCAGCACTTTGGGAGGCCGAGGCGGGTGGATCACGAGGTCAAGAGATCAAGACCATTCTGGTCAACATGGTGAAACCCCGTCTCTACTAAAACTACAAAAAATCAGCTGGGCATGGTGGCGCATGCCTGTAATCCCAGCTACTCAGGAGACTGAGGCAGGAGAATTGCCTGAACCCAGGAGGCGGAGGTTGCGGTGAGCCGAGGTCGCGCCATTGCACTCCAGCCTGAGTAACAAGAGCGAAACTCCGTCTCAAAAAAAAAAAAAAAAAAAAAAAAAAACCACGCAAAATTAGCCTGGTGTGGTGGTGCATGCCCGTAATCCCAGCTACTTGGGAGGCTGAGGCAGGAAAATCGCTTGAATCCAGGAGACGGAGGCTGCAGTGAGCCAAGATTGTACCATTGCACCCCAGCCTGGGCAACAAGAGCGAAACTCAGTCCCCCCAAAAAAGAAAGAAATAAAAGAAAAAGGCCGGGCGAGGTGTCTCATGCCTGAAATCCCAGCACTTTGAGAGGCCGTGGCGGGCGAATCACAAGGTCAAGAGATCGAGACCATACCGGCCAACACGGTAAAACACCATCTCTACTAAAAATACAAAAATTAGCTGCGTGGTGGTTTGCACCTGTAGTCCCAGCTACTCCAGAGGCTGAGGCAGGAGAATTGCTTGAACCCGGGAGGCAGAGGTTGCAGTGAGCCGACATCGCGCCACTGCACCCTAGCCTGGCGACAGAGCGAGACTCTGTCTCAAAAAATAAATAAATAAATAAACTAATTACAGTACTGTCTATTTCAAGTATAGATTTTAAAAATCTATACTTTTAAGCTTCTGGCTACGCTACATCTCTAAAAGTTTTATGTAGTTCAAATGTGAGCAGCGCTCCTCTACGCTGAAAAACTGAATAAGCAGCATCAATCGCGGGTAGAAACAAACTAGAACCCGCCAACATGGCGCCCCCACCAACCCGCAGAGGGTCGCTCACGTCATAACACTGCGCGGCCACCCCTCGCGCACCACGTGCTAGGCGAGCAGGCGGGCGGATAGCTGAGTCTTCAACCGGGAGGCGTGCCCTATTCATCCATGGCGCAAGATGGCGCTGCCCTTTGCACGTTCTTTGCGCGTGTGCCTCTGGGGAGCCAAACGATTGGGAGTTGCCTCCACAGAGGCCCAGAGAGGTAGGATTATCTCTTTTTACTCTTTTTTACTTCCAGAATGGCTTCCGTCTATTTTCCCTAGACCCCACTCCGAGAAGCAACTCCAACCCTCTTGGGTCTTTCCCTTCCCCCACCGGCGTTGGTCCCGAGATTCCCAAACTTGTGACACCATTTGGTTTCTTTGAATCCCGGAACTTCCTCAATCCGAGTTTTTCGACTCCGTAAGCTACCCATACTAAAGCGACCCACTGACTGTCTTGACCGCGTGGCATTCTGACTCTTCCCTAGTTGCTCGTGTCTTATGACTGCCTGCTTCAGATCTGAATATATCACCAGCCCTAGGGTTCTCTAGCTCTGTTATTATCCCGTCTTTTTGCTCTGCCCGCAGGCATCAGTTTCAAACTGGAAGAAAAAACTGCCCACAGCAGCCTGGCACTCTTCAGAGGTGATACGGGTGTCAAATATGGCTTGGTGGGATTGGAGCCCACCAAGGTGGCCTTGAATGTGGAGCGCTTCCGGGAGTGGGCAGTGGTGCTGGCAGACACAGCGGTCACCAGTGGCAGACACTACTGGGAAGTGACAGTGAAGCGCTCCCAGCAGTTCCGGATAGGAGTGGCAGATGTGGACATGTCCCGGGATAGCTGCGTTGGTGTTGATGATCGTTCCTGGGTGTTCACCTATGCCCAGCGCAAGTGGTACACCATGTTGGCCAACGAGAAAGCCCCAATTGAGGGTATTGGGCAGCCAGAGAAGGTGGGGCTGCTGCTGGAGTATGAGGCCCAGAAGCTGAGCCTGGTGGATGTGAGCCAGGTCTCTGTGGTTCACACACTACAGGCAGATTTCCGGGGTCCAGTCGTGCCTGCCTTTGCTCTCTGGGATGGAGAGCTGCTGACTCATTCCGGGCTTGAGGTGCCCCAGGGCCTCTAGTATGTCCATACTGGAGTCCCTAATCACACTCTTGGCCAGCTTCCTTTTGAAAGTGTCTGAAGCCTTTTGACTTTGCCCCAAGCAACCTCTGGCTCCCACAATTCAGTGTTGGGTCTTCTGTGCAATATCGTAATCATCTTCCTCATCCCCTACCTTGTGAAAGCTAGGCATACAGCCAAACCCTACTTCTCCCCACCCACCAACTACTGCCAGTTTTCCTGGGCTACCATGTGTGTATCTTCCCTGACCTGCTTCCTTCAGTTCCTATGCCTCCCTTTGCCCAGGCCTTTCTCAGACTGTATTCCATCCCGGGGTCTTATCGTTCAGCTTTGTTTGAATTTATTCATCATCGTGATACCTCTCCCTCCCTTTGTCCACATGTAACTTGTTTGTTCTTGGGGCTCTACCAGATCTCTCCAGAGTAAATCCTTTCTACCTCTGGCTGAAGAAGTGGTGCAGTCAATGACTTGACCCTTTCTCTACAGCACATTCAGAGTTTCGGCTCTGGATCCCTCAGTAAGTGCTTTATTGACTCAGTGTGTCAGAATGAAAGCAGAGCTCTCCTTCCTCAGTAGCTCAGTGCCACAGACCTTCAGCCCCACAGAGCTGTGGCTATCCTTACCCTGAGTCCATCTACCTTAATCTATACCTCTGACACCCAGCCAATCTGTCATAATCATTATGCCAGTTATAACCATGACCAAAGGGGAAGAGACACATGGGGTATATCTAGGGGATGAGTGCTAGAAGAAACTGTTTATTCTTTTTTTTTTTTTTTGAGACAGAGTCTTACTCTGTCACTCAGGCTGGAGTGCAGTGGCACCATCTTGGCTCACTGTAACCTCTACCTTCTGGGTTCAAGCAGTTCTTGTGCCTCAGCCTCCTAAGTAGCTGGGATTACAGGTGTGTGCCACCACACAGGCTAATTTTTATATTTTTAATAGATATGGGCTTTCTCCATGTTGGCCAGGCTGGTCTCAAACTCCTGGCCTCATGTGATCTACGTTGGCCTCCCAAAGTGCTGGGATTACAGGCATGAGCCACCGTGCCCGGCTGAAACTTTATTCTTGAGAGTTCCATCTTCATTTCTGCTACAGTTGGAACTTCCTGAGGAAGGAGGGAGGCCTGAGGTTTTACACAATCTGTTTCAGAGCCTGTTTAGACTCAAACCTATACTTCCCTGGCTGTAGAATACACTTAACCTAAAGCAGTATTTGGAGTAGAGAAAAGCCTGGTGGGGTAAGTGAATATGTATTGTTTGGATTCCATCTGACCCTGTGGTTCCATCTTCTACCTTCTATGATGGCAATGAAGCTAGATACCCCTAGGGAAGAAAGGACTGGGTTTAGCAAAAATGATTTGATAATTAAAGTTTATTTGAACATAAAATACTTTCTCTGTCTATAAAATTGCTGTTAGCAATAGCAGCAGCATCTCCTGGCCAAGGGGAGTAGATCTTTCCAGACTACTAAAGCCATATATATAGCCATTCCCACTTCCCTTATTCTGTGGATATATACATGTGCATGGTAGCTAGAGTCCCTCCACCAGACTGTCTCTCTCTCATGATGGTTTCTTCAGGCAGAGGAAGAGGAGACCTGGTTGAAGACCTGGGATGGTTTTGAGTGGGGCAAGCCATTTGGCTGTACTTTGAAGCCCGCTCTCTCTGGATAGCTCTACTGCTATCCAGAGATAGCCCTTCACTGTACTCTGTCTGCTGAGGGGAAGGGGTATTTTGACTCTCATAGAAAGCAGTACCCCAAGTTACTGAATGACTGCTTGGTCCCGACTGAAGCAGTGTAGCTCTCCATAGCATTTTTGGTGGGTATGGATTACATGTGTGGCCAGCTAATGCTTTTTCTTGAGCGGGGGCTATCCATAACCTGTGCTCATACCATGCTCTCTAAGTTCTCTTTGGACAGGGCTTTAGCTGCTGCCTCAGCCTGAGTCTCGGAGGGTGTGTAGGAGTCCTGGTAATCTTGAAGCAGTTTGACCACCTCCAGATGGTTGAACTGTACAGCATCATCCAGGGGAATGTTGCCCCACCTGAGAGGAATAAGATAGGATCAGGCAAAGGAGACATGGAGAGGGCGGTGGTCGTATATATTTGCATGGTGGCTGGAGAATAGTAGCGAAGCTGTGCCCACCCTCCCCCACTTTTAGCCTAATCCTCACCTGTCCTTGACAAAAGGATTCACTTTGCAAGCCTCAATCAGGAATTTAACAACTTCAGTGTGTCCTGGGAATATGGGCAGAAGGAAAATGAGAAGGCACAGGTCTTAAACCCTTTGGTGTAGACACTTAGCCACTGATTCTTATTCTTGAGAGTCTTTACCAAGAGGAGAGGGAAAAGGCCTCATCCCGTTTTGTACCCTGCAGCACCCAGTAATAGTCTAGCTGCAAACTGAAGGGTGTCTGGATAAAACTAGTTGCTGCCCTATCATTTTGAGGACACATATAACGAAGGTATTTTTGGTGAAAAAGAAAGGGTCTTATGATTAGCCTCCCCTCTTTAACCCTTCAGTACCTTCAGCTGCAGCAACATGCAGAGCTGTGCGCGAGTCATAGTCTTTCTGTTCCATATCCATGGCTGACAAGGCAAACCTGAGGGTAGTGGAAAGCAGCTAGAGTTGCCTAGATGAGACTGAAATCACTGGTGTCCTTTGTGAACTGGTGTCAGACTAGGTAAGTTTCAGAGAAGTGAAACAGCCTATACCCAGATTTGTAGGCTCTAAATAATCTTTGTTCTATACCCAGATGAGACTGTTATTCCCATAATAGAAAGCTAGTAATGTGATACTTCCAGAAGTATCATTCACTGCCTACCTGTGGTAAGTGCCCATGAGACAGGGTACCTACTTCCTACGACTCTGCTCTTAATAACAATGGCTAACATTAATTAAGTTATCATAGAGCAGGCAGTTTACTTTTTTAAAAAAATCTCATTTAAATGCAATCTGTATCCATTCTGTCTAATTCCAAAGCTGAAGCACTTAACTATTTTGCTATGTTGCCTTCTAGTAAGATCTGACCAGGAATATTTTATTGTGTATATTTGGCCACAGTAGCATTACCTTCGAAGAGCTGAGACATCACCACTATAGGCAGCAAATAACAGGTTGACCACAGTCTTGTTCTGGAACACAAATCATACCCACCTGACATTAATTGAACTCACCTATACTCTGCCCTGTGACCCTCCTCCATGGATGCTTAGTCAAGGGTATTGCTGAGTGTTTTGGAATGTTCTACTCTAAAATATTCTCTTTGTTTTTTTTCTTTTTCTTCTTTTTTGGAGACGGAGTTTCACTCTTGTTACCCAGGCTGGAGTGCAATGGCGCGATCTCGGCTCACCGCAACCTCCGCCTCCTGGGTTCAGGCAATTCTCCTGCCTCAGCCTCCTGAGTAGCTGGGATTACAGGCACGCGCCATCATGCCCAGCTAATTTTTTGTATTTTTAGTAGAGACGGGGTTTCACCATGTTGACCAAGATGGTCTCGATCTCTTGACCTCGTGATCCACCCGCCTCGGCCTCCCAAAGTGCTGGGATTACAGGCTTGAGCCACCGCGCCCGGCCTGAAATATTCTTAAAAACCACCAGCAGTTTTCCTTACCCGAACTTCTCCTCCTTCACGCCGTGGGTCTAACTTCCGAGCACAGTGCCTCAGGTTGTCATAGTTGTGGAAATTGAAGAGAGACACCAACTTCTAGAATTGTAAGCCAAAGATACTGTTTATTTACTCCTTATACTTAGAAGCTCAAGATTGCTCTATTTACTTAAAAGTGGTAGGCCAGGCGCAGTGGCTCACACCTGTAATCCCAGCACTTTGGGAGGCCAAGGCAGGTGGATCACCTGAGGTCGGGAGTTCAAGACCAGCCTGACCAACATGGAGAAACCCTGTCTCTACTAAAAATACAAAATTAGCTGGGCATGGTGGCATATGCCTGTAATCCCAGCTACTCAGGAGGCTGAGGCAGGAGAATCACTTGAACCTGGGAGGTGGAGGTTGTGGTGAGCTGAGATCGTGCCGTTGCACTCCAGCCTGGGCAACAAGAGCGAAACTCCATCTCAAAAAATAAATTACAAAAGTGGTACCATTAAACAAATTTATTGCTTCAAAAAATATTAAGTACTATATGCAAAGCATCTCACCTGACAGAAGCTAGTTCCTCTATGACTGTTCCCCAGCTTGTCCAATGGGGGTGACAGACACATCATTCCCATGACATTGGGTACCACCAGGAGGATGGCTCCCGATACAGCTGACTTGGCTGGCAGGCCCACCTGGGGAACAAAATTGAAGCTGAGGATAACCTGGGTGTGCCCCAAATCAGAAAAGAAACATGTTAGGTTGTACTCTTAAGTTTACAAATGACTGCATGGCCACAATCCACCTCAACCTTTTGGGTTGTTAATTAGCTTCTTTTATTGCTCCTGTCCGTTCCTTCTCTTAAATTCACTGATTTAGCTAGAAAATATTTATTGAAATACTTAACAGCATTCTGTGCTGGATGCTGTGCTAGAACTAGGAACTTACATTCTGGTGTTAGGAGATAGGTAATAAACAGGTAAATAAATAGACAAGTAATTTTTTTTTTTTGAGACGGAGTTTCGCTCTTGTTACCCAGGCTGGAGTGCAATGGCGCGATCTCGGCTCACCGCAACCTCCGCCTCCTGGGTTCAGGCAATTCTCCTGCCTCAGCCTCCTGAGTAGCTGGGATTACAGGCACGCACCACCATGCCCAGCTGATTTTTTGTAGTTTTAGTAGAGACGGGGTTTCACCATGTTGACCAGGATGGTCTTGATCTCTTGACCTCGTGATCCACCCGCCTTGGCCTCCCAAAGTGCTGGGATTACAGGCGTGAGCCACCGCGCCCGGCCTAGACAAGTAATTTTTAAAATAATTATGATAACTAGTGAGAAGAAGTAGGGTGCTGTAAATAGAGCTGGGGGGGGGGACGTGAGATAGGGTGGTCAGAAAAGTCTTTGGAAGTGACATCTAAGCTGAGACTCCAAGGAGAAGAGCCAGCAATATGAAGGACAATTCAGGAGCTGCAGCATTTTTTTTTTTTTTTTTTTTTTT